AGTGTCTAGAAGATTCTCGAAGAGACTACGCGGAGGCTATTATCGTATATAAGTGCGCTAGACAAAGGAGAGAGGGAGAGTGGGGAACCAAGGATAGCAGATACAGAGATCGGAATTATAGTTGCTGACAGGAGGAGATAGAGACCGACAATTAAGTCAAGTGCGGTAGTAAAGTGAGTGAATTGTTGTGAATTATAGAGTGTGTTTAAGTTAAAGTAACTGTGGAAATTAAGTGTATTGCAAAGTTGTATTGAGGAAGAATAAACTAGTTTTATTTGAGAAAAGACTTGTATCGCAGGAAAATAACAAACGAACATACAGAGACGTAACAATATTAATTAAAGGGGTAGTAAGATGTGTAGTCTTGTACCACAATATTATGTTTGAAATAAATTGTTTTATAGCTTTTTGAACTGGTTCAAAAGTTACGTTCACACATTCTTTTTTTTTTTTTTTATACATGTGAAAAATAGATTTCTAGCTACAAGAACCTATACATTCAATTATTATGAAGATCATCAATTTTTCATTTGCGAAATACGTTTTTCTTAACTCTTATGAAACATTAATATTTTACTTTCCTCTGTTGAATCTTCTTGTCGCTGATATCCATGTTTTGCCGTTAAAGGTTACTTCGAAATAGTCTTCTGTTCAAATGTATGTGCCTCACGTGACTCAGCGGCAGGCTGGAAGAGTTAAGACACTGAAAATGTGATTTTGATACCAGGGCAGAGCACAGATAACCCATTTTGTAGCTTTGTGCTTAACACCAAATAAAGTTTAATTACGTGTGCAGGTATGAAAATAGTGTTGTGTTTACTCTAAATCACTTGTTCTTCTAATCAAATACATATTTTGATCTTATTTCAGTATATGTAAATACAAGTATATACAGAGAGCGAGACAGATAGTTTATGTATGAGTAAGAATATTATATAAGTTCATGGAACCTGAATGTAATAATAATATTTCGAAATTTGTCTTTTTTAATATCTAACCTTACATAGAGGGCTTTTCTCCAATCACGTGCTTATTATTTTAAGCACGATAGTACAAGTTTAGATTTAATAAAAATGAATTTGTAGTATTTGTTATTTTGTGAACGCAAGTGAATTTTAATAATATAAACAACTGAACTTAAAAGTGTTAAGTAAGAACTACTTTAAGTTCTTAGAAATTGGTTACTTATTAAGTTATTCTATTTCTATCGTAATGGTGGCTGCACTCCAAACATTGAAAAAATCAACCCATTAAAACTAAAAGTACCAAACAAATAATAATAAACCGAAGGAGAATGCACACTATTTTATTTCACTAGATATCTTGCTGTTTCCTGATACTATCAGTGATAGGTAATCGACTCTTATTTACAACAGGGGTGAAATATTTAATGAGCAAGTCGTACCTATTACTTTTAGGTGGTCTAACTTCTAGTTCTAAGTAAGAGAAGATGTTCCGTTAGTATGACTCGGTAATACTGCTGTTGCTAATAGTAATACTTGTGCTAGTACTCTTGAATCTTGGATGCTATATAATTTCTACTGATATTTTTAATTTTAGTGCAAGAACTCGTACATCAGTTTAGTCCTAAGTATGTATAAATTGAGTTAATATTCCATGATCTTGTTGAGGTTTAAACACTGGTCAAATACATGTATAATAGCAAATCAATATTAAAACTGTAATTTATAAAACTGTGAAGGTTGTAATATAATCTGTACCATAAAATTAAAAATGGAAAAATTAAAAAAA